CCGCTCCACGACTCCAAACGCTGGCATTTCCATTATACTCCCAATGAAAGAAAGGCAGGGGGAAAAGAGAAGCAGATAAAGAGAGGGGAAAATGGGGAAAAAAGGAAAAAGAAGAACAAAGTGAGTTTCTTTCTTTGTCTCATCCATCCAAAGTCTTCTTATTCTCACAAGAGTAGTCCATCATTTTCTCTCCAAGCAAAACACACACACACACACACACACACACACACACACACACACACAGAGTGAGGGAGTGTTTATTAAAGGTAATGTCTATTGACTGTTTACTGTTTATCTAAGCCACGAAAAAGTGCTCAAACTCCAGAAGCCTTTTGATTATTTTGTGGCAGGTATTAATATTAAATGGCTCATTTTCCGACCGTGGTGAAGAACAGTGGAGGGGAAGCAAAGAGGAAAAAAGCTGTTAAATGGGTCAATACACAGAAATGACGTTAATAAGACCTCTGCACTACTGTTCAGACCGCACATATGCTGTGTGTGTTTTTTTTAATGACCACTGCACGGATATATCTACCATCTGGCTTTTCTGTTCTCCAGAGCTTACTAAGTCTGTTAAGATTAACATGACAATGACCATGTCTCCTGCTGAGAAAGACAATACTCCAAGTGTGTGTGCATGTGTGGGTGGCTGGGTGTGTGTGTGTGTGTGTGTGCGTGTCTGTGTGTATAAAAGGCAAAATCTGTGTTTGAGCCAAAAACTGTGCGTGTAAATTAAGGGTGCACGATCAGCATCAGCCACAATCAGAGATGATTTATTTTGATAACTTCAGTTGATCTGTGCTGTAAGTTTATGATAATTAGTGTGTCTAGCTAAGTACATGATACACTGGCTAAAGAAAAAAAAAAGAACTTGGAATGGATTCTCTCCAACTATCCCAGTGAGAAACTATATTATACTGTATTGTGTCATTCATGAGAAGCACAGCTCTTCCACAGAGGCCCTGGACCTTTTCCTCCACAACGGACAACCCCAGCCTGCTTTAGCATAAAGCATGGGATACCTTATTTTGTTATTTCTTGTCACATCATCATGAAAATTTCATTAAACAGCAGAACATCGCTGCTGTCAGAACAAAACCGTGCATCTCCAAAATGGTAACTTTACAGGAGAAGGAAAAAACCTTCTTTACTTTTAATGTAAGTCAATGGAACCAGACTTATCTCCAAATCTTTTTGGCCATTTCTTTTCACCCATTGATCATGAAATTTATACACAACGTAAAGGACAACAGGCCTTTTCAGATCATATCAAAATCTGAAAAATGGCAAAAATGGAGATACAAGGTTTTGCAGCAATATGAAGAAATATGCACTTTGTAAGTCGCCTTTTTATCCTCTAGCATAATAATAATTTTGATATTTTTGGTCATTGAAGCTTGCAAGGTGTACATGTAACATACTGTTTACTTCACATGTTTCAGTTTTCCACTGAACCATTCTGTAAATATTTCAACTTCAAGCCTATATCTGAGCTCTAGTGGAGAAACCTGCTAGCTGGTTAGCCATTTTCCGAGCTTCTTGTTAAACAAACTGTACCCGAATGGTGTGTTTACTATAGTTATGGGCCATTTGCTTCACATACAATAGGATTTCTGAATACAAGCACATGCTCACTCAAAAACTGACCCCTACTAGAAAGCTGCTAGGACTCATATTTGTGAAAGTTATAAGAGCCATATTAGTAAGCCATGTTGTCTATGTAAAAATGTTATGCTCCTCTGAATGTTTCATCTGAAGTGCATGCACATCAGCGTGCTCATTTAGCTTGCAAAGTACAGGATCTTGGTGAAAAAGTTAATTATTGACATTATTTGTTTGTTGCGTGTCACAAAAAATGTGGCAAACTAATAAAAATCAGTCCAACAAAAACAGCCCTTGGCCAACTTGGTGGCCATAAGAATTAACGATGAACGCATCCCTGGCTTACATGTGTGCAGTCATGAAAAGGGGTGAATATCACAAGAAGCGTGTGTGTGGTGTGCGCTTTATCAGGTTGTAGATTTGTGTTGATAAGACCGGTAAAGTGCAGCCGTATCAGCACTCAATCTCATTGAGAGTGCTCTCTCCTTTCTCTACCGTTCAGAGAACAGGCAAGGGCGCGCGCACACGCACACGCACACACACGCCACATTATACTTGTGAGGCTTTCCACTGATTATTTCCATCGGATGTCTTTTAACACAGCCAAGTAATACTACAGCTAAACCTAACCCTAACCTCAGCAACCAAAACTAACCCTAACCTTAACCTCAGTGACCAGATCAAAACCTAACCTCAGTTACTTACACCTTAACCTAACCTTAACCTCGGTCACCAAACCTAAAACCAACCTTTCTGTTCTTTTAGTTTTTTCACTAAAAGACACAGCCGCTGTCAGAGCGAAACTGTGTATCTCTATTTTTGTCGTTCTTCATTTTTTTACCTAATTTGAAAATATCAGCTGTTTTTTATACGGTGTCAAAATGTCACAATGAATGGACCAACAGAACTTGTCCAAAATGGCTTAAAATTACTTATTTTATTAACATACACTAAGGTTAAGAATGTTTTTTCCTTCTGCTGTAAACTTTTTTTGGAGAAAAGGTTTTTGTTCTGACAGTTTTCATACATACATATTCACGTACACACAGCAGAGTGAGACTCAAAGGCTTCAGTGTACTCAGCTATAGATAAAGGCTGCAGACAGTGAAGAGTGTGTGTGTATGTGTGGTGCAAATACACAGTGAAGTGTGTGTGCACACACACAATAACAGTGTTTCAGGCCAAGCATGCTAATGAGTTTGGCTCAGCTCCAGGTGTGTTTGTGAATGTGTATCCGAGTGTGTGTACATATGAGTGAGGGTGTGTGTGTTGGGGGGTTACTGTGAGCTTCTTCAGTGCAGTGAAAAGAAATCCAACCAAAAATAGGCACGAATGCTGCTGAACACAGTGGTGACGTTAACCTACAGTACAGCACTGGGATAAATACAGTTTCCATCTATACTCCTGATTATCACCTACTTATCACCTCATTAACATCTGAGCCACACAGGCTGAGGCTGAGCCTGAGTGTGAAAAAAAAACCCAAAATACAGGAGGATGTGAGGGATGCGATATCCTGCACCAACTACAATATCCTACGTGCGTATATGCAGCCGGCTCTGGAGCTTTGGTTTGTCAGGGCATCTACATCATCTATATTGGCACACAGAAGCCGTTTGTTTGCAGCTTGATCCCCTTTGATTAGAAGAGGAGAAAAATAGAGCAAAGGCCAACAGGGACACAATGAATATTAATATTGCTCAATTAGTGGAGCATGAAGAGGGAAAAAGAGAGAGAAAGTGAAAGAAAGAGAGAGAGAAGTAGCTGAGATCAGAATGAATGTGCTAATGCACACACAAAGGCACAATCCTGAATCACTACACAGAAAGAATAACGTGAGATGTAAAGATACAAAGAAAATCCCAAGCCTTCAAGTCATGCAAATGGGTAGTCTTGCAAGCCAGACTTCAGAGTCCAGTGTATTTCATAGTGCAGCGTGACAATGAACCGACTACTTTGACAGGAAAGGGCCGTTTGACGTGCAAAATAGCCAACCACAGACTGTTGTAATTGTGTGTACAGGCAAGAAATTTTCAAAACATGGGTGTAATTCATGCAAAACAAAATACGGGTGCAACTCGTGGGAAACAAGTTAGTCTGCACATCTGAGACCGTTTTAAAAATGCAATGCTGTGGATTTGACAAACTTTTTTTAACCCAGCACAGCGACTATTTCCATATCTATCTTTGAAAGGTTCAGTCTTGGTGCGCAGAGCGGGCAACTGCTTGGAAAAGTGTGTTTCCCATCATACTGATCAACTCACTGAAGTGCATGCCCATGCAGATAACCAACTACAGTGGGACAAAATCCCTACAGCTGAGGCCAGCATAGCTTACTATAGATATCTCAGTTATTATGCATGCATGTGCTTTTGCGAGTGTGTGTGATAGTCTATGCTTCAGTTAAAAAGTCATTAAGAGGATGTCAGATGACACCTTAAAGGGCCCCTTCATTTATCTCGTATTTTATTTTTTTCTTTAAGCTCCACTTATAACATTTTTGTAGTTTTATATACCAAAAATAGTTCTAATTCATTTTTCCAACTTCTCTGTATTTCTGTACTTAGAATTAATAGGCTGTGTTTGTTACTGTGCCTTAAAAACAGACTTACAAATGAGCTCTGATAGGCAGTCCTATATTGCACTTCATTCAAAAAGCAGTTGGGGCTGAAACACTCCTTACAACTTCAGTATGAATGGGTGGGATCAAACTGCTGTAGACTGAATGGGTGGATGTGTGTAAAGGTGTGCGTTCGTGACATCATAGAAGCATCATAGAATTCATAATAGGCTTTAAAAGTTAAGTACGTTTTTTCCTTTTCTGGAAAGTTAGGAGATACACAATTTTATTCTGACAGCAACATCTACGTTTCTCTCCACTGCATAAGTGTGCGTGCAGGTGTGTGCAAATTAGTGTATGTTTTTGGCGAGTCCAGTGTTTCTCAATGCAGTATTCAGGGACCCCCAGGCGGTCTACATTTTCTGTTCTGTTCCAGCTCCTAACACACCTTGGCTGGGCATTCTGTTCTTGGTCCAGAAATTTTGGGAGCTGGGCCTAGGTATTAGCAATATGACACTATAATATCGCCATCACGAAAAAATATGACACTAACATACAGTGCTGGGGACTGTCAGTACTTCCTGAGTTCCTAACTAGACTGAGAAAGACTGGAATAGGTGAATCACTCATAAAGGAACAGATATACACAACCATTAATGAGGTACCGTGTGCTCAAAAGCCTGACTGAGACATCAAACAACCAGAACTGCCATTAGCAATGAGTCCTGAGGGGCACTAAAATGTTCACACAACCTCTGACCTCGACAGGTGGGATTGCTGGAGGACATGTTTGTGGCCAAGCTTTAATAGTCACACGCTTGCTTGTGTGTGTGTGTACCTGTTTCTCTGTGAGTGTGTAGATGAACTGCTGGTCAGGACTGAAGAGCAGGTCTCTCAGGATGGGGCTGCCATCTCCCACCACCACGTTTTCATACAGCAGTGCCGGCCTGGACGGACTCACTGAATTAATCAGGATCTGAGGAAAGAGAACATAAAACCCATCAGAAACACACAAACACAATCACAGATCCAGCAAGGCACACCAAATCATCACCACTGTTATTTTATTCTGAGTTTATTTTTTTATACCATTTGAAAATGCAAGCTGCTCTTTATGTTGTGTGAACACCTAATGATGAATGAATCAATTAACAGAAATGATGAAAAGCAAAACTAGAAATTTATAAGTACACTTATCCATCTCCCACAGCATCCTAAATAACTAATCTGGAGATAAAGCTTTCTTATGACAGTGACATCACGTAACGGGAGACAGATGTTCTTACATCACAGTTTGTATGTAAACTGTGAACATGGCTGTTTCACTAAAATCCAACAATTGAACTGAGTGTAAAAACGTCAGTAGCTATTGCGAGGGCTGAGCAATATGGCAAAAATATTACATCATGATATTTCAAGACATTTTGTTGATTCACGATATGCATCATATTGAGGTTTTAAAAATTAGAGCAGAAATTTTTATCTAACATTTAACATACTGCAATGAAACAGGACTAATTATGCTCTCTCTGTAATAAAACGCACTTGGTCAGTGTTGTTAAAGTATGTATAATATCAGAAAAGCCACATTTCTTACGATAACAAATATTGTCACATTGCTCACCCCCAGCTACAGCGCCACTCAGATGAATAAAAGGAATATTCTCTCTCTGTGCAAAGAGCTATAGAAAAAGAACAAAAAAACAAAAAAAGAATCGCGCTCCATTCTGTCTTCACTGACTTGCTGAAATCCCTCATGTTTAGAATAGGAATCTCTGCGGCTGTCTCAGTGTTTGTGTGTACGTGTGTGCGCGTGGATGTGTGCATAAGAGGAGGATTAGTAACATTAGGCCCTAATTGAATCAAACAAAGCAGATAGACACTCAACTGTCAGACAGACAAGAGCAGCTCGATTATAGGCTCAGCACAGGAATCAATAAAGCAGTCGCACACACACACACACACACGCACGCACACAGCTTTCTTTCATTTATGACTGTGATGACTGTTTAAATCTGTGCGTTATTGTCTCTCCATTATATCAGTCTTAGAACTGACACTGATCCTTCAATATACGGTTCTAAGCTCACCATATAAGGCTCATGACAAACGCAGCATCAAGAACGCAATGCATTTATACAAGCACACGAGCGCAGAGACTGACCACACGGTCAAAGAGACTGACCACTTCTCACCAAAACACACAACTTCTTTCTCTCTTTCATCAGGACACACACACATACACACGCAGACAAATTTCATCATCAACGAAATGTGGAAAATTGTACTGAAATCTCAAGCATGCCAAAATATGCCATGACCTTTTCCTGCCCATTAACAAAGGTCTTTGGAGGTCAATCACTCAGACTGAAAGGTCAACGGAAGAAATCAGGCTCCACGTAATTGTACAAATTGATTTAAATAACGGCAAAGAGTACTAACACATCAGCAGAGCCGACAGAATTAGACAAACGCAAAGAGGAAAAGAGGGGTGGAGCCTGCTCAGAGCTCACAAATCATAGCTATTAACAATAATATTAATAATAATAAAAAATGTTTCATTATTATTATTATTATTATTGAGCCCTTGCGATGAAAAACTTTGTTTTTTATAAAAATCATGGTATGACATTGTTTAATGCCCTGCATTTAAAATAAAGGGGTCACTACAATGTAAATAAAGCATAGCTGTGCTTTTAAATTTAAATGTTAGTACAAAATAAAACAGAAGACAAATGAACTGATAATCCAAAACAGGGTAAATGGTTAATATATGTTCTTTTCGTTGGAGAAGCTCAATCAGTAGTAGTAGCAGTAGTCATAGTAGTACTTATATAGCAAAATTTCATGACTGTGTCTCTCAGTGTTTCATAATCACAGGTAAAAATGTCAATAATGAATAAAGCTATGAATAAAAATTAAGTAAATTAAAATGAAATAAAAATCAAATTAAATGAAAATTAAGTCTAATCTCTGTGATAAGCACATTTAAAAAGATCTTTACATTTCTATCAGTGAAACTGCAAGCTCCAGTTATTAATCTGAAGACTTGTTATAACTGCTAAGAATTATTCAGTAACATTAAGCATTTTCAGGTACTACTACAAATTATTCAGTCATCCTACAGAACTGACTGTACTAACTAATCCGAGGTCAGCTTCTCTGGTTAGACAACTTCCACGCTTCCTCTTGGAGTTTGACAGACAAAATTAACTGAAATATCTGATGCTTTTTGTTTGTTTTTGTAAGCTGTATTTTATCCATATGTGTTCTGCTATTTTGGTTATCTATCCTCTGCATCCTGGCGAAGCTGAAGACAAATTTCCAGACATGCCTGATTGGACCCTATCCTATGAAAATACAGCCAGTGTACAGTACCTGACGGGGGCAGTGTGCTCAGTGTCCACTGGCATACCGTTTATTCTAAGGAGTGTGTATTACAGATGTGTGTGTACAGTAGAGGAGAGATGCTGTAT